CAAATGGAAAGTTTGAAATTAGAATAAATTACAATTGTTTCAAACGGAATGTTTGAAATTAGAATAAATTACGATCGTCAGGTTTGTACAAACGGAAGGTTTGAATTTATAATTAATTACATCGATAATTAAGGTCGTAATTATGATCGTAATCAATCCCCTACCATTTTGGCGGAATGGAGACGCAAGGATCTCCCCCTTCATTCTAACAAACCAACAAAAAAATAATCCTCTAGTCCTTCTCTCCTCTCTTCTAGCTTTCCGGTGGCCTCCCCAGCTCAGTCTCTCTCTTGTTTTTGTTCGCCGGAGCTCCAACGATTAAAGGTGTCACTCTCATTGGAGACGGAAACCGTTTTATCTTTGGATTAGAACGCCATCCACCGGAGGCACTACCGAGGCGTATCTAATTTTCGAAAAAAAGATCCATCCTCGACTCGGTTTCATGTTTATTCTCGCAATACCCATATATTCCAACAAAATTAATGTTGCGTCGATTTTTGCGTTGAAGAAAGTGTTAAAATTGTTTATATTGGAATTTTATTTTGTTCAATTTTTAATTTTTTAATTCAATTAAAGTCTGTCTGCTTAATTGTGTTAATTTCTATTCAATGTAGGTTTAATTTAATTTAGATTTTATTCGTTAATTGCTTCCATCAATATTTGTATGTTGTATACGAGGTGGAAATATTATAAGGAATGAACTAACCAAAATAATTAATTTATTTTGCCATTGTACAGATTTTAATATCGGATATTGGTACAATTATTGAGATACAATATAGTACACAAAATCAAATATTGTCATGGATTATTTTGAGATAAAATATTATATACGATTCCTATAATTGCCATAGTTATTCGGTTTCGGATATTGTCATAGTTTTTTGAGACAAAGTATAGTCTTGAAAATTGTTACTACCGTTCAAGACAAAATATAATTTAAAAAATTATTATGGTCGTTCGAGACAATATGATTTCGAAAATGTCACAGCCATTCAAAACAAAAATATAGTCTCGGAAAGTATCAAAGCTATTGGAGAAATTGTCACATGTTCGAAACAAAATATAGTCTCAATGACATTTGCGTATATTTTTGAGACAATCTATTGTAGCAGGTGACTGAGGCGTCTGCATACCACAAGACTATTGTTTACAGGACCACTAACTCCATATTCGATTTTACAATCTCTTGGCACAAATCCAAATTGGTGTTAACATTTCACCTTAAGTTTGAAAATAAATACTCCCTCCGTCCCATAACAAAATATTCATTTTTCCATTTTAGTCCGTTCCATAAAAAGGTATTCATTTTTCCATTTTAGTCCGTTCCATAATAAAGTATCTATTTCATTTTTTAGTAACTGTACTATCTACCTAACATTACAAATACCCTTACAACTTACAATATATTATACAAATGTCATTACCTTTATATCACACATCTCACTGTATTTCAATATAATACTAATATTTCTAAAACTACGTGCAAAAAGCAAATGGATATTTTTTTTGGGACGAAGGGAGTATTAGGTTTTGTTTACCTAAATTTTGATTTTTTTTATTTCATTCAAATTAAAGTTTAAAATCAAAATATGAAATCACGTTCTAAATAAATTATTATATTGGCCTATTTGGAATATTATTTTTTAATTATGGCAATAATCTAATTTAATAAATTTGTATTATTCTAAACACTTTATATTTTATCATATATATAAAAATTACTGAATAATATAATATTAATGAAATCATATATTTTCAATTTTACAAAATAATAATAATAGTAATAGTAATAATTTTTCTTTATATGTATAATAATTTACTATATTAAAATATCAAATTAATAAAGTATATCATTTTTAAAAATAGTAATAATAATAATGATAATAATAATTTTCATAATGCAATAAATTTTTTTTTTTATTTTTGAAAATTTTTTGAGCATATTGGTTTTATTTGATTCTTCCTCTGTCTCAATTTAATTTATTTATTTTTATCATTTTTGTCTATCTCATTAAAAAAAATAGTCTTAAATTTTAACTATAATAAAAGTAATCATAATTAAATATCAAAATACCCCTCATTTTTATAAAAATATATTTTTTTTTTGTACTTGAAGATAAAAATATCAAAATTATTTTACACAATTTCACTAATTAATAAAATACTATTATTTTTTAATTCATAAAAATAATAATAATAATAATAAATGAATACATTGAATTGTAACATATTAGTATTAATGTTAGTTGTTAATGGTGAATAACATGGGTATGTACAACTTTGGATGCAGTCAATTGCATTTTTATAGAAATGTAAAAGTTGAATAATATAGTTTCGAGAAAGAAAAATGAAATAAAATAAATTATTACCATAAAACAAACACAGTTGTTAGCTGCGAATTCAATGTTATTGATTTATTTAACTAGTGTATTGATTGAAGATAATATAATGAGAGCGTGTTATATTTTTTAAATTTCAAAATTTAATTAAATAATAACATAAGTTTGCTTATAATACTCGTAGATCAGTCTATAGCATTCAAATAAGAGTTTTGTAATGTGATATATTTACTTTGATATTATTTTAGGGGCACGTGGATTTAAATACCGCTAAAAAAGATTTATGTTCAATTCCTCTCTATTTTGAAAATTCATTGTACTATCTACTTTTCATTTCACTTTACACTTGACTTCCTAATACTAATTTTACCCTTAAATCATCATATAATGTAACAAATATTGTATGTATTTTCATTATTTTTCTATAAACCTACATTATCTAATTACGTACTCCAAAATTATCCCGTTGTACAAAGAAAACGTCAGAGTAATGTGCCTTAAATTTTTATTTATGTACTAAAATTAGTTATAGTAATTTAAACCTAAAAATAAAATAAAAATCTAATAAAATTCACCATCCGACTTTTTGGATGAGTTATTCTTAAAAAATCTTCTCCTTCCACGTTGCCCTCGTCGTCGAAGCCCTCTAGCGAACTAATAATAGGTATTTGATGTGATATTATAAATATAATTGTTTATATGTATATATTAAAAAAAAAATAGATATATGTTGTGATAATTTTTTTAAAATAAAAATTACTATTATAAATAAACAACAAAAAACATGTAGAAAAAAATAATAAGAGAGTAAATAAGGGCGAACAAATATATTTTTAAGAAAAATAATAATAATACTAAGTTTGAAAAAATTATATAAGTTTGTTTGAGTATAAATATTTAAAAAATAATAATATTTTAAAATTAAAATAAGAGGTAAAATAAAAATAAAGTGTTATAGAAAATTATTAAATTTTGAATAAAAACCAAAAGGTAAATAAAAATATAGTAATAAATTATTATTATTTATTAAAATAAAAATAATAAAATTTACATAAATAAAAATAATTATTATAAATTTAAGTAACTATCAAAAAAATCAAATAATGAGTAAATTAAAATAAGAGAGAAGAGCAAGCTAGGCATTGGTGTCTCTAGACTATTAATTAAATCTCTCAAAATTGTATGAGATTTTTTTTTTTTTTTTCAACACATCAAATACATTATAGACTTATTTTCTTTCTTTTTTTTTTTTTTTTTTAATAATTATATGTCTATCTAATATTACAAATATCTTTCTAATTTACAATATATTATAGAAATGTCATTACATTTAGAATACTAATAGATTAATTTAGTCATCTTATCTTTATTTCTACTATATTTTAATATAATAATAATATTTTAAAAATTCTGTGAAAATAATAAACGGATAGATAAATTTGAGACGGAAAAAGTAATCCTAAATCTAAAAAAAAATTATATAAGCTTGTTGAACATAAATATTCAAAAATAATAATATTTTAATATTAAAATGAGAAGTAAAATATAAACTGAAGTATTATAAAAAAAATTATTAAATTTTAAATAAAAATTGAAAGGTAAATAGAAATATATTACTAAATTAATTATTATTAATTAAATAAAAATAGTAAAATTTAAATAAATAAAATTACTTATTATAAATTAATTAGCGACATATTTAAGGAATTATAAAAAAAGAAAATCAAATGATGAGTAAATTAAAATAAGAGAGAAGAGCACAATAGTCATTAGTGTCTCTAGACAATTCATTGAATCTCTAGAAATTGTACTCCCTTCGCTACGGTCTAAATGGGTTCGTAGTAAATTAAAAAAATAATAGAATTTTATTAGTTAGTTGAAATGTATAAAGGATTTTGATATTTTTATCTTTGTAAAAAGTAATATATGTTTGTATTTTAGATAAAAATTAATGATATTTTAGTATTGATGTATAATTATTTTTATTAAAATAGAAAATTGATACTTTGAGATAAAAAGTAATAAAATGATAAAAATAGTACTTTGAGTTGGAACGAAAAAAGTATGAGATTTTTTTTTTCAAAAAGCTAACACATCAATTTTTTTTTTTTTTTTTTCATAAAATATTAAATCAAATACTTATTTTATTAATTTTCAAACTTAAACTTCTGTCTAAACAAAGCCAAATAACTCCCACAATTCATACAATTTTGGAGAATTGTCTAAATGGAGCCTAATAGACTCAGGCATTTCATACAGTTTCAAGAATTGAACTACCAACTTTAAGCATGTCAAAGGATGGAGTAATGAACAGAATAGTTTCTGATAACAACTGTGGACTTATAAAAAATAAAATAAAAATAAAAGTGATGAACAGCATCATATATATCATGTATATACTCCTTGCCTCTCAACTATACAAGATTACCTCAATAAACTGTAATGCCTCAAATCATTACAGAAACATTAACTAATTAAAGTTTCGACGAAATGAAATTTTTACATGTAAATTAATGTCTCAAATTAATTAATTAATACAGAGAAATATTTATCATTTATTCTAAATTAAATGATGTATATATATTTACATAGAACAGAACAGAACAGATGGATCGATCATAGAAGAAATCAATGGGTCGATCGCAATGGCGCTTTGTCTTATGAAGTGAGCCGGAACGAAGATCCTTCGTTGATCGTCGTCAGCTTCATCCTGAAGGATCGGACGGCCAGCCTTGCTCGTCGCGATGAGTAGCTCCTTAACCGCCTCACCGAACCAGATCTCGAAACCGCCGGCGCCGGCGCCGCGGGTTTTCCAGAAGCAGCGCCGCTTGTAACGAGATAATTGACCGTATGATTCGATTGCGGATCCTCCTCCGCCGCCAGAACCGGCGAAATCCGAGCCTTCCTCTTCCGGCCACCGTTGATCCGCTCCAGCGCCGCGCTGGCCTTGACGGCGAGCGCCGCCATGTCGGCGGCGGCGAGCGGATACTGGAGCCTGGAGGCCGGCAAGAGGAAGTAGATCTGCGCCGGCTGGAGGTCGTCGGCGAGGTCGAGCGAGGGTATGAATTCGTCGAAGTAGAGGCGATCGGAGTTGCAGATGAAGAAGGATTCCGGCGACAAGGAGAGCGATTGGAAGACGTGAGCGGCGGTCACGGGAAGGGGAAACTGGCGCAATTCTCCGGCGTCGGAAACGACGGTGGCGGAGGGAGTCCGCCGGCGAGCGGTGGCGTCGCGGTCGGATTTGGCCGTCAAACAGTTGCCCATAGGGAAGGGAATTGAATAATGCGTGAGAATGGAGAATTGAGAAACAAGTGCGTAATTTAATTTAGAGGTAGAAGAAAAAGGAGGAGGCAAATAATAATATTATATTATATTATACACAGTATAGTATGTGATATGAGATGATATTATGATATGATAAGTTTCTGTGGGCGGAGGGCGAAAGGTTTTGACAAAACGACGCCGTCGCCCAAGAACTTGCGATACAATGGTATTTAAACACGTTAGCCTGCCGTTTTGACTTTTGACTGCTGACTCACCTTTGGTGTTCATACTTTTGTTATTACATTTAACTGAATTCCACTTTTTTATTGATTTGTATGTATTAATTATTAGATGTAAGGAAGTCAAGGCTGTATTCAAATATGTACGTACGTACACATAAGGCTTGGGCTACCCTATCCGTATCCGTATCCGTATCCGTATATTACTAGTATTAATTAAATATATATATATATATATCATGTGTTTTTTTTGTTATAGATAGATGATTAGGTCGGTCGGATGGGATGGGAGACGTACTTATAATTATCGTGTTCTGTCTGTGTTTGTGCTGGTGATTTTAGTGAGGAATCTTTTTTTTTTTTTTTTTTAATTACCATGTCGGAGTGTCATATGTGGGTGATAATATACCGTCCATCACAAAATAAATAAATAAATTTATACACTATTAAATACGAATTTATTGTGATATACTCCCTTTGTCCCAGTTCAAGTCCAAAGAATTTTTTGAAATTTTGTAGTACATTAAGAAATAATAGTATTTTATTAGTTAATGGGGTGCGTAAGAGATTTTTGACATTTTTATCATTTAATTTTACAGTAATTATATGTGTGATGATATGTTTATAATTTAGACAAAATTAAATATATTTTGATATTAGTATATGCTTATTTTTATTAAATATAAAATAAATATTTCGAAATGAAACAGTTGAAAATGATAAAAAATATATTTTGAATTAAGACGAGGGAGTATAAATTTTATTATTTTTTATATTTTATAATAATAAAAAATAGTAATTTTCTATCATAAAAAATATATGTTTAATTCTCTATATAATTCCATTTTAAAAAATAGTAGCTCTTTTTACTTTTAGGAAAAAATTATACTATCTTCGTCCGACTTTAAAAGTCTCATTTACTTTTTAAATGTTGATATTTGAATATTAATTATTATATCAAAATGTAGTACAAAATGCAAAAATACTTTCATTAGTTTTTTATAATACTAATAGAATGATACTTGTACAAAAAAAATTATATAAATATAAGAATATTTTTAATGTTAATTACAATAATACAAAAAGTAAATGTAACCTTAAAGGCGGATTGAAGAAGTATAGTATTTTTATTATTTTTAACTATATTTTCTATTTTTCTTATTATAAAAACTAAAAGTATATATCATATTAAAATTTGTGTCCAAACTAATAAATGAGTCTATTATGAAATATTATAAATATTATAATTTTTTATAACTATATAGTATTTTTTATAAAATACTCCTTCCATCTCAATAATCATTTTATTTGAATTAAAAAATAATAATATTTTATTAATTAATTAGTAAAAATATATAAAATAATTTTAATATTTTTATCATTGTAAGTACAAAAAATAAAAAATATTTTTATTAAAAATATAAGTATTTTGAGTTTTATATAAAAATTATTTTTATTATAATAAAAAATAGATATTTTTTAGTTAGACAGTAAAAATAATAATAAAAAAATTAATTGAATTGGAACATGGGAATATTATATTTAAATTATTGATAGATTATATAATATATATTTTTTACTATATATAATGATTATGATTTTCTATAATATATAATATTTTTTTTATAATATATTATATTCAAATTATTATTAAAACAAAAAATAAAAATCAAATCCAAAATCAAAATCAAAATAAAATTTTAGAAAACTATATATTAGAGAGTAAACTAATTTTTTAGTTTCGTAATTGATTTTTTATATTTTTTTAGTATCGTAATTGGAGTCTGTTGTACACTAGTCTCATAATAGAAAATTTTCACAATTTTTATCATCCGGCGCCGGAGATGCCTATGTGGCACTCACAAAGCTCGCTGAAGGATACGTGTCCGCCAGGTCAGCGACACGTGGCGGATAAGTAAATTTTTATTTTTTAATTTTTTTAGTTTTTTTTAAAAAAAAATTTTAAAATTTTTACAAAAAAGACAAATATAAATAAAAAAAAGTAACAATTACTACTTTTTTTTAATAAAATTTATGTCACGTCAAATGAGCACATATTTCCATGACGGATGAAGTATAAATTATAAATTTTAAAATGTGTTTAAAATATATAATTATATTTAAAAAAAAAACAAATTATGTGAAATGACAATTAAATGGGAGTATATAAAATTTAGAAAATATACATACACTATGAAAGAAGTTAATGCACGTATGTGCGGTATTATGGCATCCCATCATATGTCTCGTCGCTACGAGAGATTTTATTATTATTATTATTATTATTATTATTATTATCAGCATGTCAAGTGTAGGGGCTGTGTGTATATTCTGGAGAGGAGAAGACAGCTAAGGTAAGCCAGTGTATGTACATAGCCTAGGTGGTGTTTGTATTGTTGTTGAATTTGTAGTTTTGTAGGGTTAGAGAAGAGAGGGTATAGCCGTATAGGTATAACCAACAAAATTGGAAACCATTTTTTATTTGATTTATTTATTAAGTTATTGGGATTGGAATTGGGAGGTGAAAGTCAATTTTCGTCTCGGGATTCTACTATAATAATATCATTATTTAATTAGCAACGTAACTGTTAGTTGCATGAAAGTCAAGGGGAGGGGGGGACAAACAAAAACCAAAAAGGCGACACACAGCCGATTCCGAATATATATATATATATATATACTCCGAGTATCAACTAACAAGTAGGCTCTGCATGCTACTTAAACTTTAACTTTTATTTATTTTGCATTATAACTCTTATTACTTGTTATCAAAATGTATTACTTTCTCCTTTCATAAAATTTATGTTTTTATTTTTTATTTTTTATTTTTGTCTTAAAAAATAAGCTGTGTTCATTTATTATTAATAAATACTCAATCCATCCCACTTACCTACCGTATCTATCTTTTTATTTTCGTCTGTACTATTTATTCTGCCACTTTTTTTTTGGAAAAGTATTATACACTTTAATCTTATTTAAAACAATTTAACTTAATTTTTAAAATTTTAATTATATTAATTAGTTATGTTAATCTTAATGAAAAATTATTTTTATTAAATAATTATTATTTTCATTAATACATTTTTAATAATTTACTAATTGTACTTTTTTTTAAATCCTCGTATTTACCGTAAATGAGACACCATATATGAGACGGAAAGAGTAACTTTTACATATTTTTAAAATAAAAAATAGAAAATTGATACAAAATATTATCTAAAAATATTTATAAATACGAGATAATTAATTGAAATTTTTTGTCAATTGTTTCGAAACTTTGACGTGATCGTTTGCTCGTAACAACATGAAGAGTCACATAATAATGAGACAAATTGTCTTGTCAGATTAACTGAGAGATTGCAGTGACAATGAATGGTTTTGAGAATTTTTGCAAACTCTGTCGAGATTATATTTGTCTTGAACAACCATGATAACATTTGAGACCATATTTTATCTCGAACAACCATGACAACATTTGAAACTATATTATGTCTCGAACAACCATGACAAGATCCGAAACTATTTTGTATTGAATCGATCTGACAATTTTAGAGGCTACATTTTTTATCTCTGACAATTTTAGAGGCTACATTTTTTATCTAACGCTCGTGACAATTTTTTAGACTTTAGTTTGTCTCCAACAACCGTGACAACATCCGAGACTATGTTTTGTCTTGAACTGGTGTGACAAATTTTGAGACTATTTTGTCTCTAATAGTCGTGATAATTTTTGAAATTATATTTTGTTTTAAACTGCGATGATAATATTTGAGACTATAATTTGTCTCAATCGACCATAACAATTTCCGAAACTATATTTTATGTTAGACAATCATAACAACATCTGAAACTATATTTTATCTCAAACGCCTATTATAATTTTTTAGACAATATGTTGTCTAGAACAACTGTGATAATATTTAAAATCGTATACTATATTTTATTTTAAAATAATTGTAGCAATATATGAGATAATGTTGTGCACAATCTAATGCCAAAATAAGTAAATTAATTCGATAAGTTCATTCCCAACCATATTTTTACCAAAATGAATGCATATGAATATTATAAATAAAATTACTATTTGAAATTATTCTACCACACACTATAATTAAACTATAAATTGTCATAGTAATAAGTATAAAAAGTAAAACAATAGAAACATATTAAATTTGTAATAAGCGCAATTAGAAACCATCACTCATCGTGCGAATCAGAGTCATTTGTTGTCTCATTATTATCATCCTCTTCTTCATTCTTTCGTTCATATGTTGGAATGAATCCAATAGGATTATTCTCATCTAAAAATGGTAGATCTTTCATATGGCTCGAGGCTTGCGTCAGGATTTTTATTACGGTTTTCAATATTTCATTTTTTAAGTTTCTGATAGTTTTATGATTCTCATTGCTTTATCATATCACGAAAGTAAACGAGATTCAACCATTGTGGAACTTTCTTCTTTGATTGCGGTGGCAATAATGCAATTTGTAATATGTCCGAGCACTTAATATCGAATAACTCACGAATTGCATGCCCATGAGCAATTTCCAAGCACTAGAAGTGCTAAAAAAAGAAGTAATTAATATAAAAATACAAAAAAAGAATAAAAAATTGAAATGTGATCCAAACAATCAAAGATATTACCTTAAAAATATGAACCACTCACTTTTTTTCCAATTTGGGATATATTAATAAACGATCCACGAACCATTTGTAATTGAAGGTCATAATACTTCGTATTCGACCAACCAAACTATGGA